AGGATGTGATAAAAAATTTCTCACTCATATTACTCTGGGACACCCTTCTATACAATGATAAGTAGTGTTTGTCCAGCTATTCTATCTTTCCCTGTTTCTGGCCTAAATTAACTTTCGAAAGCAGTTTCCATTTTCTGGCATGAAACACCAGTCTCAAATGCAATTGATTATCCATGAAGAATGACCCTGGCACAATACTATAGGAAAATTCATTACTTGACGAGGGAACTTCTGTATTAAATTGCACGCGAAAACTGATATCGCATGAATCGCAAAACGATGAGTGCGATATAGGTTTTCAAGGGCAATTTAATGTGGAATTCACGAGTGAAGTAATGAATTTTCCTTGAATCACATAACTGATAAAAAAAGGAAACAGCATAACTTAAAATTGTTATGTTTACGTAGATGTGAAACAGTATCACTTAGCCTCATTTTCAACTCGCAATTCCATGCTAAATACCTCGCTTCGTAACCAATCAGAATGCAAGATTTTTTTCAATGATGCGATTCAATTGCAAATATTCTATGGTCTGCCATGTCAAAAAATAAAGCAGAGCTTTTATCTATGAGGTACAAAAGCTTCAGCTATGAATTAATGAAGAGATAGCAAATCCCACAAAAATAAAACCACATGTGAGATATATTGTGCCTTTTGTAACAAATGACAGATAATATGAGATGCAGCTAGATAGTGGGAATTAAGTCAGGAGATCTAGTGAGCTCTACTGAGCTTTTTGAAAGATCCCCACCATAGTATTTCTATTTAACACAGAAGGTGTAGATTAGTTATTTATCAATAGTAACAGCTGTCAAACTGGCAAACCAAATACACAAGTTTAATATCTATATATACATTAATAGTAATACACTTGAAGAAGATAGATGAGAAAGTGGGTTCTTTGATAAAACAACTCATGAGAGGTATAATATTTTCTTTATTCTATTTGACCAAGCTCATAATTTGCGAAATTTACCTGTCTATGTTGCACACCACTTTAATCACGCGAAATAACTAACACAACAAACAGTGACGTTTTCCTCGACTGTCGTTTTCACCACCTTGTTTTTCTCGTATGATCCTTTTCCTTTTTTTTTAGTCCCATAATAATCACCTGGACTAGTCCCAGTTACTCTCTTCCTGCTTGCTACATCTATCTATTCAAGTTGTCACTCAGGTGTAGTTTTGTTGAACACAGCCAACTGATTCCAGCATGCTCAGTATATGTGGTTCACATACCTTTCACATTGTGATATAAATACTTAATAACCTTTTTCCATTGGGGCAAAGAAAACTGGCAAGCTAATAACAAAATTATGTACTTTTTTTATACCATTTAGCTGAGTTAGTTAATGGGTAAACTGATCTTGAACATTCAACCTCAAATGGACATGAAAACAAGGTAAAATAATTTGACATGAATCAACTCAAATTTTGTGGTGTCATTTGTTAGATAAGTGAAGGTGATGATGAAAAAGGAGTATTACCTCCCTCTGCATTTTTGTTATCCCTACCTTAAATAGCAACCTGTTAAGGACCCCTAATGATTTTTACATTAGTTCCATTATTTTGCATATATTCATAGATTACATTATTACATTTTTCACTAATTTCATGCACATTCCAGGCATAAATTCATATACATAAAGAACAATTATGTTAATAACTTACTTTGCTAATGGCTTTGATCACTCTTATAGGCTGCCATGGCAACAGGCACAAGCAAAACCCCTATTTTGTTCATACCAACAACACTTCCAGGACCTCCTGCCACACCCACAGTTCTTACAAGTCCCTCACCAGCAGCAGGACCTGGTGGGTAGAGTAATTTTCCTATTTATATTAACTATGGAATTTACACTTTATCTCTCGTCCCTTTGGAGGCAGGTAGCTTTGTTTCCACAAGAATCTCAAAATTTCTTTTCTGGTGAAGCAGAGGAAAATATCATGCTATTGACTTGAAGGGAGGTAGTTGGGTCAGTTTTTAACCCTTTTACCCCTTGGAGTCTAAGGGTGACTAACATCTAATTTCTCCGTACATTATCACCCCTGAGTCACAAATTTAAGTCATGAATGAGAGTTGGGAAATGATCACCAACTATAAAGAAGCTGTTGATTGTAAAACAAATTCTCCTTGTCAGCACCAAGGGAAATGTATAGAGAACAGTATGGAGAATATGCATACTGATGTAAAGGGTTAATGGGTTTGTGCTGCTGGCCTCTCAGACCCCCTACCCCATAATAGTCTATTCTGTGGACAGTCATGTGTAGACCCCATCTCAGTCATTTTTGGGCAAATGTAATTTTTGTGATCCTAAAAAATGGCAAAGAATCTTCCCATTTTTTAATTTCTACTTACCAGAATTTTCTTACCTTTAAAATCCTAAAAATGTGCAATCCCATTGTAGTAGCTCTATTAAAAATGCTGCATAAGTATTATAATAGGATGCCATCCAAAAGTGTGGTTGCCTCACGGTTAGTACGCTTGACTCTGGATTGATTGGTTCAGGTTTGAGCCCTGTGTCTCTCTTCACCCAGGTTTTTAAATGGGTACAAGCAAATTTAATGCTGGGAGGTAACTCTTTAATGGGATAGTATCACATCCAAGGGGGAGTTAGAAATACTAGAAATAGTCGCTTCATGCTACAGAAACCAGAGTTAAGTGCCGACATGGTGGACCACTTGGCTTGTAAACTGACTTTACCTGGGCACTGACTTTTAGCCATGTGCTGATCACACATACTTTTCCAGAACCGTGAATGGATTCTTTTAAATGAATCTGGAAGGAAAATAAATTGATGAAATGATACTTGGCAGGATCCATGTAAAATAACCATGTAAAAGGTCACGTGGTCAGTATAAATAGTTCTTACTTCTAAACTATAAACTAAGCAAGAAAACAAGCTTGTGCTAGGCCAATTCCTGCTTACCTGACCCCATATTCTTGCCTGCACTTCACTTGTGGCGAAGTTGAGGCAAGAATATTATTATTCTATCATCATTACATTCCATTTAATACCTGCATTTCAAATGAGATTTATTTCAATATATGGCAAAACTGTTGTTTTCTCTCATAATTTCATTCAGTCAGCAGCTTTGATTTGGACGACAAACAAAAAAGGTGGGTTGTGATTGGAATCACATTAAACAGGGTTCTATTACCAGTTCTCCGTGACTGTGTTGGCAAGGAACTTGCTAAACACTACACGTCATTGAAGAGTACAAGTGGAATACATACACAGGTTTATTCCAAGCACGTGAAGAAAGATGGATCTTTTGACTTAAACTATGGCAGCATTAACAACAACTGGAGAAGATTAAAGAGAAAGGTGCATCTATATGATTATAAAGTGACATCTGCTGAGGATCTGGCCAAACTTTACCTTGAACCGCACATGGCCAAATTTACAGGTGAATAATTATTTTACCACAATTGGCAGTAAAGTCGCAGTCTGATTGGCCCATTTGCCGTTGTCGATAATAGTACAGACAACGCTGCTCGCGTCAACGTGTCACCTAATGTCTTTATGTCCTTTATCAGCTGTCACATAGATGACTCGGAAATTTCGACGTCGATATTCGGCAGTGGTTTAGCGTGGTCTGTACTCTAAGCGACAACTAAATTCGTCTTCACAGTGGTCAAAATTTGTTGCGGACTCACGGGGCGCACATTTCGACTACTGTGATGACAAATATTGTTGTCGGAGTACAGACCACGCTAATGTTAAATCTCAAATCCTTGGTTGATCTTTGTGCTAATTACAACTTACAGTGAAATACCAGGGCGAGGAACAATTTTAAAATGTGTAATTGTTCCAGATCAACCTGCAGTTTCTTATTGGCGCGTCCATCTCTGACACAGGTGGCTTGTGGCTAAACTTTGCGCAACGAGACTCTGAAGCCTCCTTCAGTCAAGAGTCTCACTTGTCAACCTGGAAATTATCCTGACAGGTCGGGATATTACTTACACAGCGCTATTTTGTTTAGGATTTGACTCGATCTTTCTCTCTAGTTCACGAAAATTAATCACACTAAAAATCTCCTCTTCGGTTACGGCTTTATCTTGCTTCTTGTTCAAGTTGTTCACCTTTGTGTTAAGTAGGGGTCACCTCGAGTCCTTACCTTGACATGCACGAGCTACAAGCTCAAACAAGAGTGTAACAAAAGTTGAATGAGCATAGAAATAGCTGAATTTGAACTGAGATAAAATAAACACCGTAAAAGTTATCATGTACTTTAGGATAAGAAGACTTAAAAAAGACTTCTACTGATACAACCTCGTTCCCAGGGTCTCTCATCTTCCCGCCCCCTGGAGAGAGGGGCGGGAAGATGAGAGACCCTGGGAACGAGGTTGTTACTGATAATGTATCTTGTATGCATATCTTTCTCCCTTTTTCTAACTTTAATTATAAATCTGGTCACCTTTTTTCAGGTTTTGACAACACATGCGACTTGTCAGCACTTTTAGGAATGCTGGCCAATTCATCCGTGTTTCACCCTCGCATCCAAACAAATGCTAAGGACGTGCGTTCCAAAGTAAGAAATGAGTGGGGACACTGTAACTTTGATCACTGGAATGAACCGGACTTCAACTACAGTTTCCAACTCATGGAGACATTGATTCGTTCTCTGGGGCTTCCAGTAGCTGATGAAATTAAAGTGCGTGATGAACTTCAGGATTGGGAAACAAAGGGTTAGTAATCTTAATAATTATACTTTTGGATGCCTCTTCCAGGATGAGCACCAGTCTTTTTTCAGCTCTGTAGGAGCTGATCTTCCCTACGTCAGGTTTACTATTTCTCGCCTACATTTATAGAAAATGAAACGTCCACTGTTTTCCACCTTCCCTTTCATTTTTTTTCTCTTTACCATTAAGGCCCCTCGGCAACGCAAGGTAAAATATTCACATTATGGGTGACGTTGTTCTATTTCATTTGTTTCTCGGCAGGTTTGAAATTGTGCATGGGTTGTCCAGTGGACAAGGATTTGATGAGATTTGTCAGCATTGAGGTGAACAACATAGCACAAAACTTAGAGGCCCTAAAGAAATCTAATGTTGATGAAGCCAAGAGGATAGGAGAAGCTCTTGAAGACGCCATAGATGAAATAACGAAATTCGATAAACGTATTGCGGACATTGAAAGTCGACTGGAGGAAGAACACCGGGTGCAATCAGAAAAGAACAAAACTTTTTCATCAGTAATTGAAAATATTTCTAACAACATATCTACAATAGAGAAACGCCAAGACACAAATGAACAAAATATTTCTTTTTTAGAAGAAAGGCATGATGAGCTAGAATCAGCTGTAACCTTTTTAAAAGACGGACAGGGTGCCCTAACCTCAAAGGTGGAGGTTTTAGAGCTCGGACAAACTCAATTGGATTCTCGGCTGAAAAAGTTAGAAGAGGGTAGTGCCATTGCAACAGTCGATGCTAAAATTTTGCAACTGCCTAGTCGCAATCATTGCTTTTGTGGTCGTGAAAGTGAGCTACAACGAATTGCAGCGCAACTGAAAAATATTGTGAGGGGTTGTTCGGAATCAGCAATTTGCGGCCTCGGGGGTGTGGGAAAAACATCTCTTGCTGTTGAGTTTCTCTGGCGACAGACAGACAAGGAAGAATATCCCGGTGGTATTTTTTGGATTTCTGGCGAAAACAACAACCTTTTCCAGTTGTCTGTTAGCGAGATGGCACGTCAAGTTGGAACTTTTGATGACAAAGACTTTTCGAATTCGCTGTCAAGAACCTTGGACTGGCTGCGAAGGCGTGAACAGCTGTGGTGTCTAGTGGTTGACAATCTGGATGAGTTAGAAATGTCCATGGATATGCGGAAGTTGCTGACTGGTCATTGGAAACAAGCTGCCCGTGGTCATATCATCATAACCACAAGAAGAGAAGCAAAGGAAATCGGAGAAGAAACTGGAATCGAAGAAAGCTCTTGTATTGAGTTGAAATGTTTGTCAGAAGGAGAAGGAATTCAATTCTTGAGGATACGAAGCGGAAAAGGCGGAGAAGACGATGATATTCGTGAGATAGTGAGAGAACTTGGCGGATTGCCTTTAGCTCTTGATCAAGCTGCTGCTCATATCCGATCCCTTTCCCTTCGACAGCCCATTAAGGAATATCTGAAGAAGTACAGGAAACAAAACTTGGTTCTCTTGAAAAAGAAGAAGGCACGTAATCTGGTGGAAAATACATCACCTGAGCGACTGGCTGTTCACACAACGTGGTTGTTAAATTTTGATCATATTAGTCGAATCTCAGTGGAGATGGATCTTGGTGAAACACCCACACTTGTAATGCAAATTTCTGCTTACTTAGGTCCTGATGACATCCCTTATGCACTGCTGAACCAGGGGCTTTTCGAAGTGGGAAATGTTGGGGCAGAAAGAGATTTGTGGGATGTAGCTGAGATAGTGTCGCTTCTTACCAAGTTTTCCCTTTTTCAAAGGTATGGGACAAATTCGTTTGGTGTTCATCGTTTGGTGCAGGAAGTTGTCCGAACTGAGGTAGAGAAAGAAAAAACTGAGTTGCGAGTCCTTTGTTGTGCAGTGCGCGTCCTTCATCGTGCTTTTGCGGGTACACGCTCACCAGCAGAAGTATGCGAGAGTTTCTCTGAAAGTGCTGTTTTCAGCATAGAGAATCCTCCGTCATTACAACTCTGGGGCAGGTTGGCCTCGCACACCACCTATTTACAGGAGCACATTCGAAGCTTCGCAGAAAGAAATGAACGTGACGTCGAAAGTGTACAAGTCTTGTTAAATACTGAAGAAACCGTTCGTATCTTAAATGAGGCGGGAATATTTTTTAGCGTTTCTCAACAGAAAGTAAAAGCTCAGGCAATGCAAGAAATGAAGCTTGAGTTGCTAGTGCACCTTGAGAATTCAATCACTGGAAAGAATGCTGAATTGCCATCGTACTTCATTGATGTACCTCTGAAAGACAAGGACTACAAGGTGATATCGTGCTGTATGAGACAATCGGCTGAGGGCGAGGTCGTGGCTGAAGAAGCTCCCTCCCAGAACTCAGCGGAGGAGGAAGCTAACCGATTGAAAGGGGAAGGAAACATTGCATTTAAAAATAGCAAGTTTAAGGAAGCCTCCGATCTTTATTCCAGAGCCATTGATTTGTGGTCGGGTGACTATCGATTGTTTTGTAACAGGGCCCTTTGCCATTTGAAACTCGGGCAGCCAAACAATGCTTTAGATGACTGCGAAAAGTGCCTTTCTTTAAAACCTTTTTACAGCAAAGCCCTGCAACGTAAAGCTTGGGCTCTCCAAGAACTAGTTACTAGAGGACGTAATGAGTTAAAAGCGCAAGCACAGGTAGCATTGGCTTTGGCTGTTCATTTTGATTCCAATCTTCGCCGTGATAAAACCTTCGGTAAGATGTTTCCAAACGTTTCAGAAGTGCGTCCTCTAGAAATAAGCAGTGATACTCAGTTAAATGTTATGATTTTGATGCAACAAGGAAATTCAACCTTTTTATTACATGAAAGGGAATACAATATACCTTATCTCATTTTTCATACTGACTGCCAGGTAGTGGGTCTCGGTCCCAAAACGTTTGTAACTTGTAGAAATTACTGCTGCGTAGTCAAAGGTGCAAAGGTTTACTTTGAGAATATAGTGCTTCCAAAAGGAAGCTCGCCTTTACTTTGTGAAGGTAAGGAGGGTGCTGTCCACCTGAATCACTGCGAAATTTCGGCAGGATGGCCGGGTTGTGAGGACTTTCCAGAATGCAACGGAGGCTCAGGTTGCATATGGGCATCTTTGGGAGTGCCAGCTTGTGATCGGAATGGAATGTTTGGAGCACCACGAGCATCTGGTGTTGTGGGTCTGCCTGGAATCCAAATTGCGAAGGGAAGTTTTGCTTTGATTGAGAATTGTATTATTCATGATTGCGGAGGTGGAGGCGCTTTAGTTGATGGCGAAGGTTCTCGAATGGTTGTCAGGAAATGCGAAGTGTATAAAAACCACCAGTCTGGCATAGAGGCAAGGAATGGTGCTGAACTTGTTGCCTCCAAAAACAGAATATTTGACAATGGTTATCATGGTGTTTTGATTGGCCCAAAGGCCGGAGAATGTTACATTGACGGAAATAAGATTTTCGAAAATACGAGAGAAGGAATTCTCACTTTGCTAAACGAGACGAAAATCGTCGTACAAAACAATGACATTCACCACAACAGACCCTTTGGAATTTCGGTAGATTCTAATTCTCAACTCGTGGTGGTAAAAAATAAGATATTTGAGAATGGATTCTGGGGAATTGTTGCTAAAACGCGCACGTCAGCACACATTGCAGAAAATGTTATTTCAGGCAACAAATGCGGTGGTATTTTTATTGGTGTCAATTTTTCAGGACGAATTCATTTGAAATCAAACGTTGTTCGTGACCATGGTGGCCCTTGGCTTGAGTATGTGGACATGAAAGGCAGTCTTTCTGTGGCTAGCCGCGGTAGCTATAATCCTTCCTCCCCTTTTTATGTACCGCCTGGAGAAAAGAATGAAATTTATTCAAGTCCTCCTATTCTGGACGGAAACAGAGAATTCAACAACGAAGAAGGCATGTATCATCCCAGAGAGGTCGCTGAACGGCTCTATAGCGGCTGCACGTATTGTCGTCGTACACGAGATAAGGTAGAGCATTTTCTGAAATGTCTGGGTTGTCACATTGCATCCTATTGCAGCAAGGAGTGTCAACGAAACCACAGACGTAAACACAAGTTACTGTGTGTCGCCCTTAAAAGTCGTTATTCTGTAGAAGTTGACCGCATCCCAATGCAGCTGCCGCATACTCAGCTAATACGGATTTATGGCGCTAACTTGATTGGTATTGAAGAGGGTCCAAAACCAGAACCTAACAAGGCGTTTATTGTCAAGATTCAAACTATGGATATTAATAGCCACCCATTGCAATTAATGGCCCTCTATGACAAAAGCGTCTCCGTTGAATGTTACATTCAAAGTCCAGCAATCTTCAACGTTATATCGGACTGTGGCGCGCTTGGAGCTTTAAACAAATCCACAAGCAAAAAGTGTTATTTCTGGGCCAAGTTTACCGAGCGTGAAGGAAAGCTGACAATTTTCCTCGATCACCTTGCTCCTTTTCAAGAGTGGTAAGAATCCACTGCAACAGTTGTGACCGTTTACAAAGCAGTAAATGTAAATCCATTGATGTTGAGTCACGTAGCATCTTTAATCATCTAATTCATCCAAGTCTTTGTTAGAATTAGTGTTATTTGTATTTAACTCTGATTGGTTTGAACATTTATCTCAGAGTTAGTTCGAGGACTCGTAACCAAGCTGGGTAATATATCCGTCAATTTTTTGTCTGTGTTTATCGTTGTGTTCTAATAGCAAGTACTATTCACCTCCGAGCAACCGATCAGATATAAATGTACGTCAAGAATTTAATTTCCGACTATTTTTTTATTTTTAATTGAAAGGAAAACTAATTTCTCGGTATCTGTATGTATATACTAAAGCTTCAGTGTCACTTAGCGGCTCCGGTAAATAATTAATGATAATTGCTGGTATTTACAATGATAGTGAATGAAAATACTAAAAATGCGAAAAAAAATAGTTGCCTTATTTTCTCGGTTAAGCGCTCCTGAGTTTATACGAGGCCGGCGTCTGTAAACTAAATGCAATTTTCCGTCTCATTTTATGGTTGATTTCTTTTGCTGCCCTTCATCTGAGAACTAAGAAAAGTTGGTCAAGCAGCCACGATTTTCGCCTTCGTCAGTCCAATCACAACCGAATGTTGCTGCCTCTTCTCTGGGCCATAGAAAATTACTTGGTTGATTTGGATTACTCTTAACTGAGTTGATAATGTAAATTGGCCACCGTAAACAGGGCCCGCGGAGCGGATTTTCAAGTGGGGGGGGG